ATCTATCTATCTATCTATCTATCTATCTATCTATCTATCTATCTATCTATCTATCTATCTATCTATCTATCTATCTATCTGTCTCTCTCTCTCTCTATATGTATATATATATATCCACACATAGCAGCTTTGTCATATCAAGTTGGTGATCTCTATTCCACCACAATTCCCATGGTGAAATCCTCAATGATCAGGGCCCCCTGCTGGAAGATAACTTTGAAACTCGACAGGCCGCAAAATCCATGCGGTGGATGCGGCATGGTCCAGGTGCTCAGGACATGTTGATACCTGATGGTTGATTGGTGGTTTCGAATATGAAAGAGGCGGGAGTTGGACTTGGCGAATATTGGGGATTGCCCTTTGGTAATGACTCACAGTTTGCTATTGGAAATGGCCATAGAAATAGTTGATTACCCATTAAAAATGATGATTTTCTACAGCTATGTTAGTTTACCAGAGGGTATTGTAACCCATGAATCCGGGATACCTATCAATCAACCACCAGAAGGGTATGGGATGGCAAGGCTTGAAGTGATTCTATTGCTGGAACCTGTACAAGCACTTCGCACATGCCACGCTACCCACGGTATTCTTGTAGTTCTCGTAGTCTTCGGAGCCCCAGGCTCAACCCCACATCAATATGCACATATATGCACGTGTGTGTATATAGTATATATATATATAACAATATACATATAACAATATATATATATATTATATTATATTATATTATATTATATTATATTGTTAAGCATAAGTCTTAAGTGCAGCATCCCTTTCTCCATCAAACGTTGAGTCTCTGAAAGGTAGATATTTTCGATCAAAAGTTGCCTCCTGGGAACGAAACCTGACCTAAGGCTGGAAAGGGCATGAAGGGCCCAGGTGCACCGATGTCCTGGGGAAATTTGGGGATGACATCGCGGCAACATGTTTATGGAGTGTTTTTCTGGAGGTTTTTGTTTGGTCGTGTGAGGTTTGCACCATTCCCATGGCTGAGATTGATAGCTTTCATTGTTATGTCAACATTCGGAAGGATTCTCCATTAGATCAAGTTTTTTACTTCTCAAAATTGAGGATTCCAAAAGCATTGTAGGATAAATTCATAGATATTGGGATCTCATACTTGATCACCCCACGAAAGATGATTATTTGAGCTACATAGAATTTTCACAGACCGGATCATGCAGTCCTGACATGAATTTCCGGTTCCAGAGTGAAATGCGACATCCTGACCTGATGGTGTCTTTAAACTTTAATGAGTTTGAACCCCCCTAATCTATCCAAAATATCCAAAGCAAACCCATCTAGATCCAATGCTGTAGCATTTTTTCGAAAAGATGGTCACCAATTCAGCCCTCATCATTAAACATTTTGAGACAAAGCCACCTGATGTTTGTCAGACAAGGCATGCCCGATATGATGGGCAAAGGTGGTAAGGGCGATGGCATGTCTGGGGACTCAGCTGTGTTGGGATTTTCGATGTGTTTTTTCCCACCGTTTTTGCCTATGAGTTTCCCCATGTTTCCCCAAAGATTCCGTATATAGACTTCAACAAAGGACGTTGAAAGGACGTCTATGATTCCCCTATGATTTTCCCCTTTGATTTTCCCCTTTTATTTTCCCCTTAAATCTCTAAAAAGCACACGTTTCCCCTATGATTTTCCCCTTGGAACGTGCTGCTTCCATGGTTCCATGAAGCCGAGGGGAAAGATGGGCTGGAAACTTAGAGCTGGCGACCAACCGAACCATGAAGAAACCATAGCCGCCATAGCACTGCTGATACAGGGCTTGGCTATGAAATATGGGTTTGAACCACTAAAGATATGGGGATTATTGTTGATAAATTGCTGATAAGTGTTGATAAATGATGGCTGGCTGAATGGATATTTTTTGATAGTTGTTATCAACCTACCAGGCTTGTTCGCTGAGCCAGAATAGAATTTTTACCCAACCAACCAACTAGTAGCAACTGGATTCCTTAGTCCACAGAGGTCCTTGCGAAATCCCGCAGTTGGTATATGGGAACTATTGGGATTCCCATGAAAGACTGTAAAACATGGGCTGATTTCATGGGATAAACCATCTACTGCTGCAGAATTTCGCTGCCATCCGTATGAGTCTGTGATTCAAAACAACTGACACCCCTTTTGCATCCAGAGTTCAAACAATGTCTGTCATCACTTTTCTTGATGAATGTTGGACAGATATGATCAATATCTGT